TCTTATTTTCCTATAAATCAACAACGACCAAAACAAAGAAAATATATCCAATGTTATATATTCCCATGCTGCAAATTTTATCAATTGATAAAAAAAAAAAAAAGTGAGGACGTATGGGTTACCTTGGAGTAGTTTTTCCAGTCCTCTGACGTAGCGCCAAAGGTATTGGTGTTGGCATCCCACTTCAATAGCGGAGAGCCAATAGCTTGACACCAGAGCTTCCAAGCATCCCTGGTAACATTCCAGCGGTTTTTGAGCTGCTCTCTTGTGTAGCCTAGTCCTGTCTTCTGGTTGTACGACTCAACCATCATATTCCAAGTTTCCTTCGGATAGTATGAGTTACGTCTGGTTGTGTTTCCTCTTAAAGACTCTTTGACCAACAAATCAAGAAACAGCTCATGTGAGGACGATGACCAATATGCTTTAAATGCTTTAAACCGCGGAATTGTGATATCTTCATCTTCAGTGTCAGTAGCTTCATCAGGAATTCGCTTCCTTTTGCCACATGAAGTACCTTCATCAGCTAAGTCATTACCTTCAAAGATAATCTTTAGGTCCTTGAACCACGACGGAGGAGTCAACCGAAACCGATACTGATTAGCCTCAGGATGCACCTGTGACAAATCCAATCAAGTTTTATTAGTTATAGCCTCCAAAAAAAACAACCAAAATTAACACAACATAAACCATTCTTTGTACCACAAAATAGTTGTCCCAATCTTGATCACTGGCACCAAACGTCTTGGTCTTGGGATCCCATTTCATATCACTGCATCGAACAAGTCTACACCATATCTTCCACTGCCTCAACATTGTATCCCAATGATTCCTAAGCTGGACTTTGGTGAACACCGCGCCCGTCCTTTGTTGAAAAGGTTCCCACATATGATGCAATCCAGGTCGATTTCCCAACATCCTTTGCTCAACGCATAAGTCCACAAATACTTTCTGGTGTTCAGATTCCCACACGGCTCTTGCTCTCGGCGTCATCATCATAACTCCTTCCTATATGTATAGATAAGTAAAGACAACAACAACAACAAAAAACATAAGTTCTTTCCATTGATTAAAGGCTCTGAATGGATTGATTCTAACTAATTAATTGCAAATAACTAAATCGTGTTAGCAAATTTACTTGGACAATAATCAATATTCACAAACATTTAATGGCACAAAAACACCAGGAGACCATAGAAGACGAATCAACAGATAATCTAAATATATATAACAAATGGTTTATATTCGAGTGCTCATTCATATATGTGATGTAAAACCAAGATCGAGTGCTCGTTGATGTGATGAACATTTATGCAATACAGGATTGAGCTCTTTACACTAGATCGAGTGTTTGTCTAATTGAGAAATCGAACGTGAAACTAAGAAGAAGAACAACATCTAAAACATTTCAAAAAAAGCAAAGTAAAATGTTTACCACGACTATGATGTTGGCGTTTGTAACGCTTGAGAGTTGAGACAGTGATTTCTTGTTTTCTCAGTTCCTAGAGACCCATTTTTATACTGGTCGGAGCCTTTTCTCCCTTCTCTTTATTGAAAGTTTTTATTTATTTATTTTATTTTGTTGACAAGTTTCATTTTTTTGCAAGAAAATACTATTTATCTTCAATTCTATTAAATCATATTATGATTTTTACGAGTTAATTAAGAAGATTGTCAAATTATATATTTTAATTATATTAACTATGGTGAGTTTTATTGAGGTGTACAAGTAAGTTTACCCGCGAAATTTGATTATTGTTTAAATTAGATACATAAATGAGTTTACGCGGGAAATTTGAAAAGATAACTTATTTTCTTATACAAGTGAGTTTACGTGCTATATTGTTTTTTTTTTGTAGTTAGGTATACAAATGAGTTTCCGTACGAGATGACGTGTTATTTTTTGAAGTAAAAAAAAGTTTTAAATATATTTTTATATTTTTAATATTATAATTTGATATTCCACAATTTTTCTCAAAACGAAATGCATAATATCTGGTAATATATTATTTAATAAAGTAACATAATTTTATTAAATGTAAAGACTATTTTTAGTCAAAACATGCATAAAGTTGTCTATCTTTTTCTTGTTTTTGTCAAAAAAAAAAACTGACTATATTTTTGCTACATTTGGCATTTGGCATCAACTTAGCATTTGACCGACTCTGCTAGAAATAGTGAAATTTTGTAATATATCACCTTTTTAGAAAATGAAATTTATACATTTTACACTTTCTAAACATAAATGAATTATTAATCTTTGGGTTAGTACCATAGAATAGAAATATCATCTTGACCATCTAAATAAGTTTAACATAACATTAACCACAACCTCAGAGTTAGAGCATGTGCAGTGGTGAGTCTCTCACCAAAGTCTCTGATGTACAAAAGTATTACTAAAATAATAAATATTATTATTTAACTACATGAGTCTTTCAAAAAAGTGGAGAGAGTATTTCATAATCTCTCATTTGAGAGACTCTCTTCACTTTTTTGAGAGACTCATGTAATTAAATAATAATATTTATTATTTTAGTAATATTTTTATACATGAGAGAATATGCTGAGAGACTACCACTGCACATGCTCTTAGATCACCCCAAATGAAAGACTCTTGATGGGTTTTTTAGTATTAAAATATTAAAAAATAGAAAAAATAGGAGAGAAAAGTAAGAAACTCTAGAAAAAGTTTCTTATATAAGAACTTTTACGATATTATAAGAGACTTTTGAAGACACTTGTGTTTCTATGAGTGGATTTCAAAACTAAAATTTAATTCAATAATTTAATTCTATAAAAATATTAATATTTTGTTTTTTTAGAAACTCAATTTGGGTCTCTCACCATTGAGGGTGTTCTTAAGAGAGAATCAAAGCTCGAGAACCCTAACTTCTCATACATAAATGCAACTTATGGGTTGGCCTTTTTGGTTGTGTGGTCGGATCATTAGTCAAATATTCTCTCTTCTTCTCTAGAAAAGATTGGAAATGTAAATGATATGACACAAGACAAGACATTGTTGCATAAGAAATATGACTCGTTTTGTCTGGTCTCTTTTAGTTCTCCTTTGTTTTGCTCCTTCCCTTTTGACTCTGCTTCAAGAAACTATGGCAATATTACAAGTACACAACCCAACCTAGAACCTGTGACTCGGTTTCAAGAATCTATGGCAAACAATATTGAATCCAACTTCTAACTTGAGATCATAAACCAGTGAAACTGCAGAACATGAGTTGGATTTACAGAGAGTAGTGGGAACTAAAAACAGGTGGAAGAAAACAAAAAACGCTTTGTCCTTTTCCATTAATTAATCACTGTTGTAAATGTTGATATCACAAAACTAGATGTAAAGAATCGACAAAAAAGAAGAAGCTAAATCGAAGTTACTCTTAGAACAACCTACGACGAAAGCAGTAGAGAATCCGATTAACAAAAAATGGAACAAAAGAAGGGGAAAAAAATCACTTATTTGTGAAGTCCTCTAAATGATTACTTTTGGTACTCTGATCCTTTGGTGTTGCTTTCACACATCCTTTGCTTTTGGTCCAAAGATGCTGTGTAAGGTTTTTTAGTTCACAGTGGAGGAAACTTGCCTGTGTTTGTTTACCTGAGGGACTGAACAAATATAATGAATGCTTCTTTCATTTGCTTCGTTTCTTGGCTTCGCTGTAGAGGATAACTCCACAGACAGTGAGAGAGTAACCTAACATTCCAGTCACTGAGACAGGATTCCTGAATATCAGGATGGATACCACCACTGCTACTGCACCTTTGGCGTTTCCTAGCACCTGTCATAGACAAGTAATAAGACATGGTCAGATACAGAATGGCCTTAGATGATAGAGTTGATGTATAGAAAGAAGAGTTGTGTTTTTACCTGGAGAGTTAGAGCGCTGGTGTGTTTCGTGACTAAGAAATTGGTCAAGTTCACGAAATAAGCTAGTGCTGAATTGAATAGCAGATACCAAACGATTCTAAAATCGTCTCTGGCAAGCGCAATTGTAATGCCAACAACATTTTTTTCCATGATAAGGGTAGCAGGAAGGAGGAACACAACAGCTATGGGAGCCATGTAAAGGAGGAGGTTCATGGAATTTAGCTTCTCCCTTCAAACAAATCCAATAAATATTTTCAGCAGCACTCTAAAAACACACAGACTTCTGAAAGATAAAACTTTAGCTGATAAAAATCTGTGAAAATGCTTTTATCTCTTACCCTTCTGAAGATAGCAAAATTCCTTGAAGAACTGATTTAAGTGCTCTTGCAGCTGTGGCTGCAATGCACATAATGAATCCAAACAGGTGGAAACTTGGTTCACCCTAACGATATGTGAAAAAATGAGGAAAAATCAGATATGGAGCCAAGTCAATGTATAAAAGATCCAAAAGGAAGCATACTCTGCGCTCATAAAAGAACAACTTCTAGTCTACTATGAGCAGCATATAAACTTCATATCATCAAGTGATCGAGCTCAGGCAAATCCCATGTGTTTCCTAGGACCATAAATGTTACCTACAATTTCTATCATCATCCAAAATGAATTGAATAAACCAGATTCAGCTCATAATCATCTATTCCTACGTCACATTCCCATCTCCCTAAAGCTACAGATTTTATCAGCTATGACCAAATATGTTGGGAATTGGATCAGAAACAATCTCAAATACAAAGGCAAAGAGCAGATTTTGAAGTAAAAAGCCAATTACCCCACTGGCAATGACAACACCGGTAACAACAGGGACGAGAGTGAAGTAAGTCAACCAAGCTTCTCTCTTGAACGTTATCAGATAAGCAAACACGGCGGTGAAAAACGGCGTCGTAGCACCGATCGCTTGATTAAACGATACAGGAAGAAACCGAAGCGAAATATTCCCAAAAACCACCGACACACAGAAAACGAGACTTAACGCAGCGATCTTAAGAAACTGAACTCGAGATCGGATCGTTTGCATCGGAACCATCTTCATCCACGCAATGGCGACGTAGCTGAGAAGAGAACAAGCCGTCATGTGACACATGGTGAGGAAGATCGGATATTTGAATCCATAGTTGCTTAACAAGTACTTGTTCAGCAACAAAACTCCGATATTCGATGAGTACCATGACGCGACGAGTCCGATTGTGAAAAACCGGCCATTGGCCGCTATCTTCATCTTTACAAGCCGATCTGATCGATTCAATTTGAGGAAAATCCAAACCCTAACACAAAAACTCCACGAATTTTGGGGGAAAGTTTCGGATTTACGCTGAATCGAATCTGTCTGCTTTTGGGGGAATGAGAGATCTTCTTCGGACAGAGATTATTCCATGGATCGAATCGAGATTAGGTCACGAAGATAACAAGAGAAGAATGGTGGAATCCAGAAACTGTGATCGGAGAAGAAGAAGAAGATGAAGAAGCAAAGGTCAATGAGAGATCTTTGGCTTAAGCTCTCTCTCTCTCTTTTTAAAAAAATGTTACTAATTTTTTTCTTCAGTTCATGAGATTTAATGTATATTATTTTTATAAGATTACAGTTTCCGTAATTTTTAATTCTTCAATAAATGCATTTCATAACACTTTTTTAAATTTAATTATAAAGGTCTTTGTCTCTTGATTGATTCCTCGAAAAATAATCAAAGTGTAAAGATTTGGAATGTGTGAACGAAGGAAAGGAACGTCTGACTTACTATCAGTTTTGACTTCCTCGGTTTACTTTCTTCATTGTACTACGATTTTTCGGTTCGGTTTGGTTCAATTTGGCTTTGTTCTGAATTTACAAGAACAAATTTGATGTATATATATAGTCTATGGTTCGGTTTAGTTTTATGTATTTATAATTTCGGTTCAGTTTTCTAACAGAAACTTAATTTTAAAATTTTAAAGATTCGTTAACTAAAACAAAAAAAAATAAAAAACAAATAATAAAGTATTTTTATTCGAAAGCATATAACAACTAGGTTTTAAATAGTTGTAGATGTGTTTACAAAAAAAAAAAAAAAGGTTGTAGACGATGGTATACCGACCAATAATGTATAGTAGTAACAGACACGTCGTTAAAATGTCAATTGCTCCAATTATTCAAATGTTTGTTCTATTTTACAAATTTCGAAAATTGAAAAAAGTGGAGAGTTAGAATTACACGACTTTGCGGTCATACAATAATCCAATACTCCACCATCGATGATAGGTCTCCTCCACGCGTTTTCTTTCTAGAATACATTATTAAATGTTTTTAGCATAAATATACAACGTCTAATTTGGATGTTGTTATCAAGAGTAAAGCTTGGTTAGTAGTGATAATATTTTATTTACAAAAAAATGCAGGGACAAACAATATCTTATTTTATATATGTATGTATATACAGAGAGACCATTTTCCATCACGTCGTGGAAATTAGGAATTCAGCTTTAATTTAGTCCTCAAGCGACGACTTGTTGTGTTTCAAGCGAGACGCTAATGCTAATTAACGACCTTCCTCGTGAAGTCAGTGCACTCAAACCCTAACGTATCCGCCAAGATTCTCTGAACATGCATCGCAACATCATACCCGGATGAACACTTGCTCTTGATTGGAAGGTAGTCCAAGAGCGTTACGTACCTTATAAACCAGTGTAGGGTTCATTAACAATAAAATCAGAACCAAAAACCATCCCAGCCTCTAGCCGTGGCACGAAATAAATCTAGAGCTAACCCATTAATCGCGACAGGCACGATTCCATTGGTTTTTTTTAGTGAAACGAGTGGTGAACATTAGCAAAAACAGTTCACCACAAATTTCTCCTTCCGAAAATATAGCTAGATCTCTTTGATACATCCAAATTTAATCTTCTCTTGTGTAATAAAATATCAAATCTTCTCTTGTTTTTGGCATATCGTCCGGAAGAAGATCAACGAATTCACAGTTAATTTTAACGAATTTACAGGGCTCATATAATTGGCTGAAATGGAATAAAAAGATCGTTTAATGTTCTTTATATACCTAAGATTTTTCTTTGCGCTTATAGTTTCATGTAAGATTCCTACAATAAGGAAACCAAAAATAGGCAAAGTCCAAAACCAAACCTATGTTTTCTTTTAAATGGCTAGAAGAATCGAGGTTAACCAAATAAATAAATAAATGTTTATTTTTTATTTAGTTGGACCCAAGAGAGAGTCTTTTAAGTTTGAACCTAAGTTAATGACAGGCCTTACCCGTCAGAAAGAATCAAAGCAGATAACACAGTAACGAAGAGAGCCCCCTTCATTATATACTGAATGATTGATGAAAAAATTGAGACAAAACCAGCCAAAAAGAGAAATTCTCAACCTCTTTGGATTCACTGTTCTTCGAGCCAAATCACATCATAGTTGTCGCTCAAGGTAAGGGTCTCGAGGAGAATTTGTTCCGAGATACTCTGAAACATCTGCGACATAAGTTTTCAGTTTCGATGTGGTTCGTGTGAGCCACCCGGCGTTTGCCTGCTCCATCTCCTCCTCCATTTTCTTCTTCTCTTCCTCTTCCAACATTCTGATCCTTCTCTGACCCATGTACGTCTTCACAGCTTCAACACCTTCCTTCACCACTTCCTCAGGTGGGACCACGAGCGGGTTCTGATCCACATTTAGTTTGGTCAGGCTATCGAGTGTCCCAAAAGTGTCTGGGAGGGCATGGATTTGGTTGTTACTCAAGTCGAGTTCTTGGAGGCTTATGAGGTCCCCAAATGAGGAAGGGAGATCCTTGAGATCACTGAAGTTGCTGCTTAGGTTTAAGTACTCGAGGTTTGTGAGCAACACGAAAGAATCAGGAAGGCCGTAAAGTTCGTTGAAGTGGGCGTCCAAGTGTTTTAGGGATCTCATTTCGCCTATACTGGTCGGGAATGATCGGATCTTGTTATACTGAACCAGGAGCTTTTCTAGATTCACTAGCTCGAGACCGATGTTGGTTGGTAAGTAGGTAAGACGGTTGAAGCTCACGTCTAAGATAACCAACGACCTACGATTTTGATATAAGAAGTGGTTAAAAATTGATTCAAAAATCAAATTTGACAAAATGGAGATATTATAGATTACATACCCACAACGGCATATGGAATCAGGCAAGCATGTGAGCTTGTTAGTCGAAACATTCAGGATTTTCAGTTTGGAGAGTAAACCGATAGAATCGGGTAATGTCTCCAGAGAATTCGTAGAGACATCCAGTTCAACAAGACTATGCAATCCAGCTATTGAATCAGGAATCGCCTGTTGGACATAAACCTCAGTCAGGTAAGACAAGTGAAACTCAGTAACTCAACTTTTCACTTCGCTAAGAAATCCAGAAATACTAATGCAGCTCGGGCCATAGAATCTACCTCAGAACTATCAACAAAAGAGCTAGCATGGACATCAGCAGCAATTGCTTGCAAAATTTGAATTAACCCATACGACAGCTAATACTTAAAATGTAGCTTCTCCATCGATAACTAACTTATTGGACACAGTTTTTAGGCGTTCTAAGACTCCTAATTCCTTTGAAGATTTTTTACAACAGGCAACATCAAAGATGTAGAACCAAAACAAGCAAACACGCACACACACATACCGGGATCTCTACATATATCACCGGCCAAATCTAAACAAGCACACATACCAGAATTACTTCGAATCACATCAGACTAGACATCATTGATGCATAATCTCTTTGAACCACATAGGAAAAGGCATTGTTGATTGTTCATCATCAAGATAAGAAAAGAAAAAGCTAGAATTAAATGCCATGGCGACACTAAAGGGATTACTCATCAACCATCGTGTAGTGCCCAAAAATGCTACCTTTACGCTACACTAAAGATTACCAAATTCTCAAATCCTAAACCAAAGTTGCATCCTTTTTACACAGACAAGCCTAAAACAGATTCAGACCCACCAGAGAGAACACATATCAACTTAGTTATATTTGAGAGACTGAATCAAATAAGCAACAATGTAGCAAATTTGTGATTTTGATTATAAATTGTTAAAGAACTAACCTCAAGCTTATTGTTGGAAAGATTAAGAACAAGCAACCCTTGAATCCTCCCAAAAGCTTCAGGTAGCAATCTCAATTTCCTCCCAGACAAATCCACACGATCCACTGGATTAGCCGAAGCGTGCTGCAATATCCCAACAACCTCCTCATTAACCTCCACCGCCGCAACATTCTCCTCATCCTCCGCCGCATTCTTCTCAGCAGATTCATAAATCCTAACAAGCCTCTCCTCTGCTTCTTTCAAAAGCTTCTCATACGAAGCATGAACCTCATCAAGCTTCAAAACCGACTCACACCAAGTCTTCTCTTGATCCATCTCGTGTCTCCTCTTCTCATCTTTCGCCGCCGCATCGGTAAGCGCGATATCCTCAAACGATTCAGATAAGAACGATTCGATTTCCGAGAGCTTAGCACGAGCCTTGTCGACGGACTCGTGATCGGGTCTAGGTCCTAGGGTTCGAAGGATAGATCGAGTCTCGGCGACGTCAGAGATCGCACTGGTCATTGAAGCGAGAACATCTGGTTGTGTTAAATGAGGCATCTGAGTAACGATTTCGATCGATTGGCTTGATGATGATGATGATGATGATGATGATGGTGGTTGTTCGATATCGAAGGGAGGAACGGAGGAGGAGGAGGAAGGGGATTTGGCGGTGAAAGAAGGGAGACGAGCCAAGACGTAAGAGAGGACAGGGAAATTCTTAGGGTTAGGTTCTGCCGCCATTGTTTCGTTGAGCTTCGAAGATTTGGAATCTGAATCTGGAAATTGATGAAGATTGAAGATGATGATTGATTTTTTTTTGATCCAGGCTTTGTTTTGTCTCTCCACGTTCTCTGTTTTGTGTTCGCCTTCTCTGCTTTTTCTCTGATGCCAAGTTGACACGTGTAAGCTTTTGTTGCTGAAAAAAAAACTAAATAATAGTATATCAGTTAAGATAATTTACTAGTATATATTTTCTGAATAAATCTTCAATAAAGTTAAGATTTCTCTTTTGTAATTAATATGTATTAAACGTTGTTCACCATGGATAAATATAAATTACTTTTAAATTCAATTAATATAAACCATGTCTATTTTTTATTAATATAAACTAAATTAAATATTTCGGAAAAAAAACTAAAAAAATACATTTGAAGTAAGAAATTTTATTTCCTTATTATAATAGTTGAAACTAAATTAATCGTTTATGTGATTAAATATTTATAAAGAAAGAAAGAAAAGAAAGCATAAGTAATTATCAGCTTGATTTTAATATTATTATTGATATATCAAAGAATTCATGAAAAAATATATGAGTTCAATAGAATATTAATGAGTCGAGAAATAATGGAATGTTCTTTTAAACAAAACAAAAAAAGAAGATATTTTTAGGAATTGAAGAGGAAAATACTTGAATGCCGAGCCAGTAAGTATATAGAGAAAGAGTGTCGAATGCTAGTTTTGGAATACGTAGTAATGAGGATACAGAGTCGGACCAATAAATTTTGGGATCCCATTGTAATTTTCCAAAACTATCATATTTGCTTTTTGTAATAAAAATTTTTGTTTACAATGGGGCCTCATTGTAATAGGAAAATAATATTATTTATGTTTTTTTCCTGTAATAATTTTTTTTTTCTTAAATAGAAACCTTTTATAATATAAATTTTTCTCCTAAAGTGAGGTTTCATGCCCATGGGTTCAAGTCCGGCTCTCTTGACATATATAAAATTTTAGATTTTCAAAATAAAAGAGTTGCTATATAGCTATTGACACGGCCTCATAGATCGAATAAGCGTCATATTTCTAGTTTCTTAAGAACAAAGTAACCTTTAAAGAAATCACACTTCTTTATTAATGTTTAGAAAACTCTCTCAAAAACTAAACACAAGGCTCTCAATGTTCTCTCTTTATGTTTGCCACAACTCAACAAACATATATATAGGACTTAGATGACTCCTAAACCTATTGCACTACAAGAAAATAGAGATATTGCAACATAATTATTGCAACGATCGTTTTTGTTGAAATCTTGCAATACATTTTGCAATATTTTTGCAATAATAAATACACATCGCAATTTTATTACAAATTCATTGCAATATTCCAACAAAAGCTTTTGTTGTAAATTTTCGTTACTAATTTGCAACTTTCTTACGACATGTTAAATTTCAACCAAATTTTGCAAGAAAAAATTCAACGTTAGTAAGTCGTTATTTTTTCTCAAGAAAATTATATTAAAAATACATAGCACCTATGTAGCTATATATGCAACATTTTTAGTAACATTTTGACAAGTCTGGTATATTTAGTTTGATTGCATAAAATTTTGTGGATCTGTTTGGGTTATTCGATAGAGACATGATCCCATATATTATCATATCATAATTTAGTGAGAGTTTGGATTGTGATTTTTTGTTCTAAGCATAAAAACCAAAATAAAAAGACCCATATTGATGAATACTAGTCAAATTTTACTATAATTTAAAAGTCCTGTAAAATTTTATACTGAATCATAAAAAACCAAACTAAACTGAATCCAAATTGAACTTAAACCAAGCCCGAATTCTAGGCAACTCAACCAAACTACTATCGTGCATGCTTTTTGACATGTTAATTTTTTGTTTTTGACGCTACTATCGTGTACTTAAGTTTAAACAAACAAAGGTAAAACAAAATTCGTCAAACAAACAAATAATTATACGTACACGTAAAATGACAAATTGTGCTATTTAGCATTTCCTCCTTTTCCCGATTTTCTCTTAATTGACTCCAAATCTTTGGATAGTTCTAGATTTTGGGATATGATCCTCTCAACAATATTATATATTCCATTATTTTATTTTCTTTTTGTTGTTTTTTTGTTTAAAATACTAGAACCAACAAATATATCTTATAATCTTATAAATAGTAAATGGTATCTGAACAACTTTCTCAACCACATCGACACTAGATTAAAAGCTTGAGTTTTCTATATGACCAATCCCAACATCACGTTATCAACAAAACATAAAAAGTAAGATTTAAGAAAATTATGCTTTCTTTTGAGACTTGATCCGTGATTTCGTTTCCTTTTCTTCGGTATATATTGCAGACTTTTTAGGTAGAAGAACCGAGTTTATGTTAGGTACAACATCACAATGAGCGATTGTAATTTCATTCCGAAGTTTTCCGAATTCGTCATCGATCTTGATCGCAAGAGGAAGATTCCTCAAAAATGGTCCTAAATTTTCTACTATCTCACACAGCGTTAGCATCTTTATCTAAATTTTTCTTACTTCATCCTAAGTCCATAATTGTGTAGCTCTTCATTCGGACGAAGGTAGCAAAGCCAATACCTACCTTTTAAGTTTTTTTTAAAAAATCTTTTTTATTCATTTTAACTTAATCATTTGATTTAATTTTTTGTTTTGTTTATTTTTATTGTATGATTTATTTTAGTATTAACTAACGTTTTCTTTTTGAAGTTTTTTCAGATGAATCATTAAGGACCGATTTGTTAAAGCAGATCTTAACAAAATTACAAAAATCAAGGAACAACCATGAAGCTAAGGCATTGGAGAAAATATTATTTCTTTTAAATCGACTATTATAAGTTTTTCTTATTTTATGTGGTTTTTATTTATCATTTGATGTTTTTAAATATTTTGATATTTATTTTGTTGGATGTTTATCCTTGTTGATTTCAATCTTGGAATTTTGTTACTATACATTTTAATTATAAAATTTAATACTGATTAGTCATTATAATTTTCTAACAACCCATGGATCGGATTTTAAATATAGCAAAATAATATTTCAACAAAAACTATATATCGACCAAACGATTAAAAATAGAATCTTGATTATATATATTTTTATAACAATGCAAAATATTAGTTACGACAATACTTGCAACAAATTACGCTTTTGTCATTGTAACAAAGATTTTGCTACAAAGGTATTTTGCAAAATAGTTATCACAGTTTTGCAATGGTATTCGCTATATGTTTTATGTAGCAATGATTTACGACAAATTTAGTGTTGCAAATATACGTCGTAATTATACGACAAATTTGCTGTAAAAATATTGTTGCATTTATACAACATCTATAGTGAGAAATCGATTTATTGCAAATTTTACAATGTTTATGCTACAAATACGAATTTGCAACGCTCAATCAGCAACGATATAAGTTTGGTCGCGTTTTTATTGCAAATCTTAATTTGTAACGTTATATTGGCCTATAGCAACAATTTCCAATATTGCAATACCACCGTTTTCTTGTAGTGTTGTGATTAGGGTTTGATAACTCCAAAACCTAACTAAACATTATCTATAACCTTCTAATCGTAAACCGACTTGTTTATGATTTCGTGGGTCTCAAGCCTTTGAAGCTTACCCAACAATATTATGGTTGGAACTTTTTGTTTTGGAGCATCATGATGCGTCTGCTAAGGTGGTCTTGTGCTACTAATTTTTATAGTTCAATGGTTTGTGTTCAACAGTTGTGTTACATCTACACTCGTTTATTACATGTTGTGGCCCCAAAAAAAATTAAAAAAATGAGAAACCGTTGTAAATGATATCGACCTTTTGCCTACTTTCAGACACATGTTGGTGTCTCGACTAAACCCACTGTTGACGTATATAACCACCGGATGAGTACATGTTAAAATTTCTATTATTTAAATGACTCTTAGTTAGATAATCCAAGATTAGTAAAGATTTGAATAAAAGCAAGTTGTGTCCACTATGTAAAATAAGCCAAATCCAAAGTCAGTCACTTTTGGACTTATGTTGTAAAAGACAGTCACTGCTTTGTCATCATCTCATCTTTTAAAGCATTGACCTTTTCGTTTTTGTTCGACGTCAAAACCATTTTGCATTCATCAATTTCGAATAAAACTTATTGGGATACCAATTTGAATTTGAAGTTTTATTGGATATTGTAATGAGTTAAATTATTTGAGTTTTAACTTTTTATCACACAAACCACGACTGAAACGGATGGAATAGGAAAAAGAACACTTTATTTTCTTGAATTGTCTAAACTTATAGTTTATTCAAAACTTAAAACAAATAAAAAATTGTTTAAAATGAACAAAATTTCGGCTACAACTCAATCTATATTTGTTTTTCTAAATTTAGCAACAAAAAATACCAAATTGAACACCTCCACATGCATGATAAAAAAAAAAAGATAAACATGACTTGTTTAGTAAGAAATTTGATAACCCCACATGCATTTGGTCATTGTTTAACTACAAAAAGTAGACTCAATTTTAATATTCTTTAGATCTAATCAGCATAATGACGTATCTTTCTGACGTAATTGCTACCGTGTTAGATGTTCAAGAACATCTATAATAGCCAAACCTGTGTGAACAAGACGTAAACAGAGAAAAACAAAACAAAAATGGAGACTAGAGAAACAAAACCAGTGATCTTTCTCTTCACTTTCCCTTTACAAGGTCACTTAAACCCAATGTTTCAGCTCGCCAACATCTTCTTCAACAGAGGCTTTTCCATCACTGTGATCCACACTGAGTTCAACTCTCCAAACTCTTCCAATTTCCCTCACTTCACTTTCGTCTCCATCCGCGATGGCTTGTCTGAACCCGAATCCTATCCTGATGTCATAGAGATTCTCCATGACCTCAATTCCAAGTGTGTTGCTCCTTTTGGTGATTGCTTAAAGAAGCTTATATCCGAAGAACCAACTGCAGCTTGTGTGATTGTTGACGCTCTTTGGTACTTCACTCACGATTTAACCCAGAAATTCGATATCCCGAGGATTGTTCTTCGGACGGTTAACCTCTCAGCTTTCGTCGCTTTCTCAAAGTTTCATGTTTTACGAGAGAAAGGGTATCTTTCTTTACAAGGTATACTTTTGTTGACTTCAAGATTTATATCTCTCTTGTTTTCTTCATTTTTTGTTGACTTTTCTTGCTCTTCTCCATGACAGAGACTCAGGCAGACTCACCGGTTCCAGAGCTTCCGTATCTTAGAATGAAAGATCTTCCATGGTTCCAGACAGAAGATCCAAGATCAGGGGATAAGTTACAGAGAGGTGTGATGAAGTCACTAAAATCTTCCTCAGGAATCATATTCAACGCCATTGAAGATCTTGAATCTGATCAGCTTGATCAAGCACTCATAGAATTCCCAGTTCCACTCTTCTGTATTGGACCCTTTCACAGGTACGTTTCAGCTTCATCCAGTAGCTTACTTGCACATGACATGACTTGTCTCTCTTGGTTAGACAAACAAGAAACAAATTCCGTAATCTACGCAAGTCTTGGAAGCATTGCCTCGATAGACGAATCTGAATTCTTGGAGATCGCTTGGGGTCTAAGAAACAGCAACCAACCTTTTCTATGGGTGGTTAGACCTGGTTTGATCCACGGGAAAGAATGGATCGAGATTCTGCCTAAAGGGTTCATCGAAAATCTCAAGGGTCGGGGTAAAATAGTGAAATGGGCACCTCAGCCTGAAGTTTTAGCTCACCGTGCAACAGGCGGATTCTTAACACATTGTGGATGGAACTCGACGCTTGAGGGCATATGTGAAGCTATACCAATGATATGCAAACCATCTTTTGGGGACCAGAGGGTGAATGCTAGGTACATTACCGATGTTTGGAAGATCGGATTGCATTTAGAGAACAAGATAGAGAGAACAAAGATTGAAAGCGCGGTTAGAACACTAATGACGAGCTCAGAAGGAGAAGAGATCCGCAAAGGGATCATGCCAATGAAGGAAATTGCTGAACAATGCCTAAAGCTTGGAGGTTCATCATTTCGGAATCTCGAAAACTTAATTGCTTATATATTGTCTTTCTAATCCGTTGTTCATCTTCTCCACATGCAAATTTGTTTTCCTTTGATTTAATCTGCATTCCCAAAGTAAGACACATTTATCATTCAAAAACTTTCGTTTTAAAACTTTACATGTACTGTATATTGAATTATCAGAGATGATAAATTTGTTTCAACTTGAGGTTTTTTATTTGCCCAACGAAAATCTATTGGGCCATAATTTCGAGAATCTTACCCGCCTTTTAACCCATTAATGATCCTATCAAATTTAAAATGGCAATTAATATAGCTATATATAAATCGATTAGATTGAAAAAGTTAAGCAAAACCCTAAATTTGCTCTGTATCATCAAACATGAGCATGACGCTTAATCTTCAGCGACACGCAAAGCGAATCCTCGCTTACAGTAACAGGCCTCGACTCTTCTGCTCCTACAGAAACGGAACCCTATCGTCTCCGGGGACGAACCAAACTCTGCTGAGTCGAATCGAATCGGCTGCTGATCAAAAAGCAGCAATCACTACGGTGCTTGAGGAATGGAGACAACAGCAAAAACATGGGAATCATCAATTAAACCCTTCGTTGGTGAAAGGTATAGTCGAGAAGCTCCACGATTCCAAGAGATATCGTCAAGCCCTAGAGGTATCAAACTGGATGATTGAAAAAAAGATCTGCAATCACCTTCCGGAAGATCTCGCAGTTCGATTTCATCTGATTGAGAACGTTTTGGGATTAGAAGAAGCAGAGAAGTTCTTCCAAAGCATCCCGGAGAATCTGAAAGGTGAATCTATCTACACTTCTCTGTTAAAGAGTTACGCAAAATCGGGAGAAATATCTTTACGTAAAGCCGAATATACTTTCGAGAAGATGAGGAAGCTAGGTATGCTCTTGAGACCATCACCTTACAACTCCATGGTCTCACTCTACAGCTCTCTCAGAAACAGAAATAAGGTCGATGAGATTCTTCGAGAGATGAAGGAGAACAACCTTGAGCTCGATAGTCCCACCGTGAACAACGCTTTACGAGTATACGCTGCTGTTTGTGATGTTGCGACAATGGACAAGTTTCTAGCTGATTGGAATGCAATTACAACGCTTGAGTGGCTCACAACACTTGAAATGGCAAAGGCTTATCTGAGAGATGGTTCTAAGGGAAAAGCGAGAGAGATGCTTCGTAGAACAGAGGAATTGAATGATCCAAAGTCTTATGAGAGACTCATAAGGCTATATGGTGAAGCAGGGGAGAGAGAAGATGTGTACCGTATATGGGACTTGTACAAGAACACAAAAGAGAAGGACAATGAAGGATTTCGAGCTTTGATTGGTTCTCTCTTGAAGCTTGATGATATCAACGGAGCAGAGAAGATATACTACGATGAGTGGGAGTCCTCTGGTCTTGAGTTCGATCTCCGAATCCCGACTATGTTGATGTCTGGTTATCGCGCAAAGGGAATGGTGAAGAAGGCAGATAAACTATTGTACAAGACTATGAAGAATAAAAGATTGGTTATATCGATTAATCCGTTTGTTGAGGAATTGGTGAAAAATAGAAACCAAGTGAAGCCGTCGGACTTGAGAGACCTCATCAAGAATCTGCGTGACTCAAATCAATTATCTAAAGCACTTGAGGCATCAACATGGATGTGTGAAAAGAGAGGTTTTAATCTTTTTCCAGAAGATTATGCAATTAGGTTTCATCTGATTGAGAAAGTGTTGGGATTGGAGGAAGCAGAGAAGTTTTTCGAAAGCAGCATCCCGAAGAACATGAAGGATTACTCTGTCTACGATACACTCTTAACCTCGTACACAAGATCTGACAAAACTCTAGTCAAAGCGGAAGGCGTTTTCGAGAAGATGAGAGAGCTAGGTTTCCTCTCAAAACTTTCCCCATTCAACTCGATAATATCTCTCTACATTCAGCTTGGAAAACAAGGTAAGGTCAAAAATCTTCTACGGACGATGAAGGAGAACAACATAGAGCATGATAGTGTCACGGTGAACAACGTTTTGAGGATGTATGCAAACGAAACAGACATAGAGACAATGGAAAATTACAAGAGCGAGTGGGTTAACGCTGATGGTGAAAAAACCAAGCTAGAAATGAGGACGATGGATGCGATGGCAAAGGCTTACGAAAGATCCGGGCTACTACTAAAGGCGATACAAGTAACTGGGAGTGAAAAAGAAGTGCACCGTCTATGGAACGAGTACAAGAAGAAGGCTAAGTCAGAGATAGAGAGAGATGTGTTAAGACTATGGGTAAAGAGAGACGAGATAAAGAATGAAGAATATCGAAGTGTGATAAGGTCTTTGTTGAAGCTTGACGATGTACAAGGAGCAGAGGCGATATATGGAGAGTGGAAACCACAAGGTCCCGAGTTTGATAAGGGAATACCATGCTTGCTAATGTCTCGATATTACGAGGAAGATAATGAAGTTAAGGCAAGACAAGTAGAGTATTCGAGTAGACAGAAGCAGAGGCGGATGCAGTTTAAGCTATTCAAGGAAGATTTGATCGGTTGTGCGGCAGGGATTGTCGGGTCTATGCTCGTGGCTTCGGTTCCTCCGATGATAGTAACGCTTTGTCTAAAGTACCCCCCAGAAGCCACTATAATATGTTTGATCTGTCTGATTCCATTCGTTGTGGAATAATATTCTTGTGTTTCTTTGGGTTTAGAATTCTATACCCAACTAAAACCATATATTTTTTTTCGATTTGAAACTTTTTTTTGTTAGTTGGATTAATTTGGTTTTATAATAATATTATATTCATTATTTTCGTCATTAAATTTGCTTCCTTAAAATTTTTATCTTCAAACTGTGAAATTTAATTCCGGAGAAATCTACGCTCAAATTTTTATTTCATATTCAGATTCATTTTTTTAATCTCTGGACCATTATATTTAGAGTTTAGATGATAATTAATTAGGATGTTCAATTATAATAAGACTATGATTTAGTTTAACAAAAAAAATAAGACTATGATTTTAACTTGAGAGATAAAGTTAGCTAAATAAACTGGTGAACAAGACTATGGTGAATAGAATATCGGTTAGATCAGTGACTCCGTTGCTGGAAGAATTGGGAAAAAAGGGGAATAAAGTGAGTCCCTCGGACTTGAGAGACCTCATCAAGAATCTACGCGAATCAAATCAGTTCTCCAAAGCACTTGAAGTATCATCATGGATGGGCGAAAATAAGGTGTTTCATCTCTTTTCAGAAGATTATGCAGCTAGGCTTCATCTGATTGACAAAGTGTTGGGTTTGGAGGAAGCAGACAAGTTTTTCGAAAGCAGCATCCCGGAGAATATGAAGGATTACTCTGTCTACGCTACACTATTAAACTTGTACACAAGATCTGAAAGAAATCTAGTTAAAGCGGAATAAGGTCAATAAGAGAGCTAGGTTTCCTCTCCAAACTTCACCCATTCAACTTAATGATATCTTTCTACAGTGAGCAAAGGAAACTAAGTAAGGTCAATAAGCTTCTATGTGATATGAAGCAGAATAATATATATAGAGCCTGATAATGTCACGATGAACAACGTTTTGAGAGTAAACGCATACATACTCGCCATAGACTCTATGGACAAGTATAAGAGAGAGTGGGAGATGATTATCATCAAGATGATTATAAAGAAACCAAGCTTGAAGTGAGGACGATTGATGAGATGTCAAAAGCTTACGAAACAGCCGGGCTAACACTAAATCCCGGGCTAATACTAAAGGCGATAGAGATAACGGGGAGTGAAAATGAAGTGCACCGCCTATGGAACGAGTACAAGAAGAAGGCAAAACAGGGATATGTAATGAAGGATATCGAATTATGATAAGCTCTTTGTTGAAGTTTGACGATGTAAAAGGAGCTGAGGAGATATATGGAGAGTGGAAACCAAAAGGATCAGATTTCGACACTCGAATACCGTGTTTGCTAATCTCTCATTACAGCAAAGAAGGTGATGAAGTGAAGGTAAGAAATGTGGTGAATTCGAGTAGAAAGAAGAAAAATCGGATGCACTTTGAAACGTTAATCAAGAGAGCTTTGGAAGATGTGTTGCCCGATCTCGCGATGTTGTCTTTTTTTATTTGGTTTGCATGGTTTCTTTTTTTTCACTAGAGCACCCCTTCTTATCAATACTTTATTCTTATTATTCTTTACTATAAAGTATAAACTATAGTTTAATAATATTATGATTATTTTCCAGTTTTTTAATGTTTACTCTTTTAGGATTTAGTCTTTAAATCTTAGATAAATATTAAATAAACATATACATGATCTCTTAAATATTTCATATTTTATATATAACTTAATATCGTCATCTCGAATGTCGCTTTTGTTAAAAGTAATATCATTCCTAGTTCTCTGGATCTACAACCTTGTTAATATGCAGGTTTTGGAGCGATACCGCATGTTCTCGAAAATGTGCAACATCGTTGACATGCGCACTTAACTCGGTCTTATAATTGTATAAAGTACTTTCTCGTCGTCTTGCAGCATTTACTCTGCCATGTTGTTAGTGATATATAGTGACCTGACAGCTGCAGAGCAATGGTCTTATAAATGCCAAGTCTATTCTATGAAACATTATGTGATCCTAACTCAGTGATTCTATTGAACACAGCAGTGGTTCTAGTAAATAACCGGAGGGTCATTGTCCAAACATCACATTGCCACCAATTTTGTTTCCCACACTGTCTCGATTCAGTTTGAAGATGAAGGGAACAAAGATCACCAAATATTTGACTGGAACCGAGTTCTATTTCTAAACAGGTTTGTTTTACATTTAATTTTGTTGTATGTTTGCATTTCCATTTTATATGAGGATGCTAAGATAATCTTTCAATTTATTCAGCATATATCTTTTAAATTTATTTTAAAGAAATATTAAATCAGCTCTATTATTTAAATTCTGGACAGAAGATGGATCTAAATCTTGTATATTTCATTTGAATGTGCACAGGGCTACAGATCTTGGGATAAAATTTTAAGGAGCTTATTCAAAGTAAACGAAAGTATAAAATACTTTTACAGAAATTTTATTGGTCCGTTATTTAAATCCTAGAACTAATCTTAATCTAAATTAAGTGATGTATTTAATACAAAAGTAAACGATGACCAAGTATAAAATCGTATATTCTGGTCATTCTTAATAATATAAACAGCAAGTTGGTCATTGTCTATTAGGAAATATGGGGATGTTTGTTTATTAATATGAAAACTCCCATTTAATCAAACTCCACGAGAAGTGGGAGAGAAGAAATTACCAGAAAACATACATCATCGATCATAACCAAAAAAGCAAAAAGATGCCGAAAGAAATGGTACCTTCACTTCCTCAACTTGTTGGATTTGGACGATATCATAACCGGTACGGAAAAAAGATGGACAAAGAAGAAGAAGAAGAAGTGGCTCCACCTCCTCCACCTCCACCTCCGCCACCTCCTCCACCTCTTGGATTCAAAGGATGCCGTAACCAATGCAGCGCAAAGATGGACAAAGAAAAAGTATCTCCACCTCCTAAGCCTCTTGGATTCAGACGACACCATATCCAAAACAGCAAAAAGATGGACCAGGAAGAAGTGTCTCAAGATCCTCCATCTCCCCAGCCTCTTGAATGTAGACGATATCATAACCAAAACGGCAAAAAGATGGACACAGAAATAGTACCTACAACTCCTCCATCTCGTAGATTCAAACGATCTCGTAACCAAAGAAGCAAAAAGATGGACAAAGAAGTACCTTCAACTACTCCAGCTCCCCGTCCCCGTAAATTCAAACGACATGGAAACCAAAACGGCAAAGAGATGGACAAAAAGATAACACTTGCAGCTTCTCACCCTTTTCCTACCGAAAACCCAAGATGTCCTGTGTCTCATCCAAGTCAGCCTCACACCCTCTCTCCTAGATTCGGTGGAAACACCAAGTTTGATTGTTTTTCCTGCGGTCAAAATACATCTCCCTTGACGGAAGACCAGAAGTACCATTTCTTTTGTACCACCTGCGATGTGGAGTTCCACAATGGTCATTGTATAAGGTTTCCGAGGAAGTTGACACATCCTTATCACCTCCAACATCCTCTTACTTTCACCTTCCGGAACGATGAAACCGGGATCATATCAGATGGCAATATAGATGAATCTTTTTGCACTACAGTTTTCTCTGACGCCAACACGTCTGATCCAAAGAAGTTGGGATCTATCGAATCTGATCAATGCACATGGTGTGGGAAAATTATCCAAGGAAGTTGGTCCTATCGTTGTTCTATATGCAACTTTTGTTTGGATCTATCTTGCTCCCAAAATATTCCACTTCTCCTCGTCACGAACCCAAAGAGTCATCAGCATCCACTAGTCTTCTATCGGCGACAACTCTTGACTCCATGTGATGCTTGTGGGTTGGTCAATATGTTGGATCCAAGCTATGCTTGTTTTCAATGTAATTACATGGTCCATCAAAGTTGCATCAACTTACCACGAGTCATAAAGATCACGCGTCACCAGCATCGTCTTTTTCACACTCCTTGCCTCCAATCTAAGATTTCACTATGTCAGGTATGCTATCAAAAAGTTGACACCAACTACGGTCAATATTCTTGCAACCACGAGGGTTGCTCTTATGTAGTGCATTCGAAATGTGCAACAAATGACAATGTATGGGATGGGAAAGAACTCGAATGGGAGTCAGAGGAATCCGACGAAATTGAAGATATCCTCCCATTTAAGAAGGTTGGTAATGGTCAAATAAAACATTTCTCTCATAAACATCCTCTAAAGCTCAAGAAGTATGATGGTGTTAGAGATGCAGAGAAGCAATGTCAAGCATGCATCCTTCCTATCAACTCTAGTGATTTCTACAATTGCACGCACTGTGATTTTTCTCTCCACAAGGTATGTGCTGGTCTTCTTAAAAAGCTGAGTCATGCATTACACAAACACCCTCTTATCCTAATCACCTCTCCTCGAAACCACTATGATCTCATCGATTGTTCGGCTTGTTCCAGAAAGTCCACTGGTTTCAGGTACATATGTCCCAAAATTAATTGTGTGTCCAAGCAAGTTCAGATAGATGTTCCATGTATATCATCAGTTCCAGACTATTTCACCCACAAAAGTCATAAACATCCTCTATTTATCTCCACATCCTCCAAAAATGATAACACGACTTATTGCGTGGGTTGCAAGAAGATAGGTATGCGGTCTTACCTACAGTGTACTATATGCAAATTTGCTATGTGTTATCAATGCGCTACAATTCCAACTGAAGTAAGCTACAAATACGACAAGCATCTTCTTTCTCTATGCTATGGAGAAAAAGCAAATGATCCGTACTGGTGTGAACTATGTGAGAAAGAGGTTAATCCAAGGGATTGGTTCTACACATGCAACGAATGTTGTATCACTATCCACCTTCATTGCATATTTGGATCTTCTGCTTATATGAAGCCTGGTTTCAGATTCAAGTATTACTCGTCTAAAGTCGAAGTTCGTCGCAACAGTAACAGCACTCGACTGAATTGTGTTGAATGTGGTAATCGTTGTCCACGTTATATATACTACAAAAATGATAACTCTGTAACGGTTACTTGTTCTTTGAATTGTTTAGAGAAGAAGCTGATTCCGCTGAAGACATTTTGAACTTTCTTTGTGTGTTTTATTTGGTTTATTTGTTTGTTTATTTTTTCTTTTCTTGAGGGACTTGTAACGTGACTTCTTCTAAAGAATAATATCTCCTTGAATTGGACGATTTTTTTTAAAGAAAATAGAGAGTTCAAGCAGTCAACGGTCACTAGTCACTGTTATATAGTCATATTATCTCACAACCATCAGATATAAATTAAATTTTTAAATCTAACGGTCCATCAAGAGCTGTCAAGCGGGTCAAACCCGCCTCGCAGCGGGTTTCAAATTTTTTGACCCGCAATAAACCCGCCCCGCAAAATCCGCGGAAGAAAATACTAAACCCACATCCGTCCCACTTAATTTCGTGGAAGCGGCGGGTAACCCGTGGGCTTTTAAAAACTTACTTTTTAAATATTTTTAAATTATATTTAAAACAAAAATATAATTAATAATAGTTTAAAGTATAAATACACATACTTTTTGAGAAAATTTTAATTTTTTAATTATTTTATAGGGAGACTCACAAAAATGCCCCTTTTTCAATACCCCTTTTCAAAAATGCCCCCTTTGGCTGTCCATTTTTAAAAATACCCCTTTTTATGTACAAAATGACTAAATTACCCTTCTTTTAATAAAAGATATTACAAATATATAAGGAAATATAACAAAATTAGGTTCACAAAATACAAAATATTTTTGGCGGGAAAAGTGATCCTACAATTTTTCCCGCCAAAAACACTTGTAAAAACTTGTAAAAACCTTTAAAA